CTGCTACAAATACAACACATGCATGGAAGAGTCCAAGAAGAACTTTCCTCTACTTGGGCATATTTATACTTCTTCGAAGAGTCCAGACGGTCATATGATGAATCGAGCAGAAGTGATAATGCAATGAGTGTAAGATAAATCATTTGTCAGAGGTCAGCTAGCATCAAATTACCCTATAAACACACGTGCAAAAGATAGGAGATTCCAGATCATTGTAAGCATACATTATGAGTATTAACTGTGTTCTGGATGATAAGCAAGAAATAACAAAAGTGAATATCCATAGGATCATAAAGGGAAATACAAAAGCAACATAAATAATGCCCATTAAACATTATAAATGCATATATTTGAAAAAAATAGGAAACTATAAAATGGTAAATGACTACAATATGAAGTAATAATGAAAATAACAAAAAGTGAAGAACAATGAGAATCTTAAAACTTTAGTAATATGCTTAAATGGCCTTTGATAAAGCACTAATTTGCCACTGCTAGATTGCAAGGTCAGTTTGAGTCCCAGTGTCAGTGGTTCAAACCAGTAGCCGCTCCTTAGGAACCCAATCAGGCTCACCATGAGTCAGAACCAACTCTATGGCACCACAACAACAACAACATTACAGATGAAAACGGTTTAGAAATTATTGGACTAATCATTTAACTCAAGGAATTCTAATAACTACACAAAAGGAATGCAAAAAAAGACAAATTACTGGAGTTGGAAAATTAATTAGAATTTAAATGACATTTAAATTATTTATATTTATAAGTGAAAGTCTTATTTAAAGACAAACACAATTAGCAAAATCTAAATAATTATGCAAGAGAAAACAAAGATAAAATGCAAAACACAATATACATGAGATAGAAATATACAAAAAATAAAAATCAGAACATTACACTCAAAAATTAATTTGAACATTAGTAAATAATATTACAAATTATTTATCTTTCAAAATTAAAAAAAAATTTGGAATTCCATACAATTTTCAGTGGACTCATAAAACTAGTTAAAAATGAGAGCTGTAACTAAAATGCAAATTGGTAACTGAAAAATAACAGAAAAATTTTCTGAAGGATCTTAATAAATCTCACTGGAAAAGATAATTACTATTCTGCCTATATTGTTCAAGAAGTAATAGAAAGAAGCTAAAACAAGAATATTTCCAATCACAAAAGACATTTTACAAGAAATAATTCAATTATGGATATCCAATATTAGAAAACCTAATCATGTAACATAAAAATATATTTCATGCATGATCAAGTATGCTTTAATATTGAAAATACTTTTATTATAATTTGCTACATTAAAAATTAAATTGAAACAATAATAATAGCTCAGATGGATCAGAGACGTATTTGATTATAACTTTCTTAATTAATTTAAACCAGAAAAAAAAGAACTGTTGCAATATTATATGTATTATTTAGTGAAAATTTAAAGATAACTGCTTATTTAATGAACAAGTCAGGGGCACCCAGAGTCTCAATTTCTACTAATCAGTGTAGCCCACTAGACTACATTGGTCCAAAAACACTCGTAAGGATGAAGAAGTTGACATCTATTCTGCAACACAGTGATATAGACTAAAACGGGAAGAAATTATACCGACAACCTTTTAGAAATTTGAAAAACTGTGTCATTCTAACAAATATTTTAATGCTTTAGATAAAAATGTGTGTGTTCCCATAAGGACCCCTGTAGGTGCTGTATGTAGGGTAAGCAACTGGACTGCTAACTGCTAGGTCAGCTGTTCACATCTACCAGCTGCTTGGCAGGAGATAGATGAGGGTTTCTGCTCAAGTAAAGATGGACAACTTTGGGATTCCTATGCAGAGTAGCTGTGAGTTATAATCGACTCCATGGCAGTCAGGGGGTGATGGTGGGCTGTAGTAATGTGAATTGCAGAATTTCTTCAGCCTCTAGAATCCTCTGTTATAATCTATTAAATATGGACATTCATTTCTAGCTCCTGGGGTTCCAGTAAGGGTTATATTTTATGTAAATTCCTAACAAAAATCTTTTCTAGATAGAAGGAGAATTAATGTGTTCAATTTAATGGTGCCACTCCTTAGAAACCCTATAAAGGGTGACTGTGGGTCAGAACTCGACAGCACTTAACAACAACAACAAGATTGGGACATAGTGGATATGGAACATCTAAAATCCTGTCATGTCAAGTACTCAGGTTAATTTGGCTTAGAAGGCGTCTCTCTCTAAAGAGTCACTAGAAATGGGGAACTTCAAGAAAAAGTGGGAAGAGTGATGTTACATTGAAAGGCTTGTAACTGTCATGAAACAAAATGTGTATAAATTGTTGAATGGAAATATAACTTGTTCTGTAAATCATAATAAAGTGTTAAAAAAAGAAATCATGAGAACATTATTTCACCTTCCAGTATTATTCTTTCACTGTCCCAGTGGAGTTCGTAGAAATACAGAACACCAGGAGACCCACCATTTAAAAATAGATTTTATAAAGCTGTGTCTGTTTGCTGAAAAAAAAACAAAACACCTTTGTATGCACGGAAAGCTTTGGTCTGAAACTGCTTTTGTATTAAATACCATCAGCTAACTTAGTTGTGCAAAATTCTTAAAGCATTATCCAGGCTCAATCAATTGGAAGCTACAAAATTTGAAAACAAAAGACTAGTTAATTGTGAGCAAACAGACTGTGTTAGTAGGCAATGCTCCTTGCCCAGCTGAGTCCTACTCTTCTGTAAGGCATCGCCAAAGTTCTGCAGAAGGTTGAAGAGACTGGCCCCAGTCTAGCAGGGTACTTACTGCCATCTGTCAGGGTGCTAAGCTTGTTTAGTCTTAAATGGTTGTATCAGCTGTATATCCAGAGACAATCGACAGCTACTGCAGATGATGTTAGGATCTTATGACCAGTACAGAGAAAATCAGGCCCCAGTGGAAGTGGAGAGAATGCCAACTCCCCAGAGCTACAAAACCCATGTCAACCTGAACCAGTCAAACACAAGGGATGGAAGTAATTAGGAACAAGTATTCAAATATCATTATTTAGCTAACATCCTAATTTGACAATGGTTAAAATCTGACAATTTTATTAAATATAGGCATGCTGTTGTTGTTAAGTGCGTTGACTTGTTTCTGGCCCATAGCAACCCTGTATAGGGTTTCCATATATGGGTGCAAAAGTCAAAATTTTAAGTAGCTTTCTCTTTAGGAGAGCCTTTAAGAAAATAGAAGGGAAAAAAAAAAAAAAAAGACTTCTCCCTCTCTATATTATCAGTTTGCAGTCTTTTCTGTATTACCTTTAGTAAAACTTTACTCTCATGACATGTCAAAAATATTGTCCTATGATTTCTGCATTCCATTGGGTCACCTCTCTTTGGAATGGACACAAATACGGACCTCTGCCAATCAGTTAGCCAGATAGTTGTCTTCCAAATTTCTTGGCACAGATAGATGAAGGAGTGCCTCCAGTGCCACCTCACTTTCTTGAAACATTTCAATTTTTAGTCCATCAATTCTTGGTGCCTTCTTCTTTGCCAATTCCTTCAATGCACCTTGAACTTCTTCCTTCAGTATTATTGTCAAGAAATCAAACGATGTATTGCATTAGGCAAATCTGTTGTACAAGACCTCTTCAAAGTGTTGAAGAGCGAAGATGTGAGCTTGAGAACTAAGGTGCGCCTGACCCAAGTCATGGTATTTTCAATAACCTCGTATGCATGTGAAAGCTGGACAATGAATAAGGAAGACCATAGAATAATCTATGCTTTTGAGTTGTGGTGTTGAAGGAGAATATTGAAAGTGCCATGGGTTACCAAAAGAACCAACAGATCTGTGTTGGAAGAAGTACAGGTAGAGTGCTCCTTGGAGGCCTGGATGACCAAATTTCGTCTCTCATACTTCGGACAAAGTCGCTGGAGAAGGATATCATGTTTGGTAAGGTGGAG